TGTAGTGACCTTGGCAGTCTCAGGTGTGTCATTACTGTATATAATGACATAGTAGAGGTTTCTGTGGACCCTTAAGACACAGAGTAATTGAAATTCTGATGCTACTATTACTAAAAACGATTTTTATTTAAATGTAAATATTACCTTAAAAGCATTTCCCTTTATTTTATAAAAGGCATATCTAATGCTTTGTGTCATCCCTTTTACATTAAAGTGCACATAATCAGTGTCTCCTGTAAGTAAGAGCTTTGTTCCCTACTTCCAAAAGCCGCTCCAGTGATCCTCCAGCCCCCAGAGACAGTGTCCCTCTCCAGGGGAAACACAGCCAGATTTGTGTGCAACAGCTCAGGGGAACCTCCTCCGGTGTTGCACTGGCTTAAGGACGGTCATCCCATTAAGTCTTTCAGACGGGTGAAGACCCAAAGCCCTGGGGTCCTGCTCATCAACCAGCTGGCCCTGGAGGACGAGGGCTACTACCAGTGCATAGCAGACAACGGGCTTGGCACAGCCTGCGCAACTGCTAAGTTGACGGTCATTGTGAGGGAAGGTCTGCCAAGCCCTCCGCGCCACCTCTCTGCTACGCCCTACTCCAGCACAACGGCCCTGCTCACCTGGGAGAAGCCTGAGTACAACGCAGACCAAATCATCGGCTACTCTGTGCACTGCCAACGCGCCGCAGGTGTGTCCCGATGTGTATGTGTAGCTATACGGTTAGCGTGCCCAAACACCCTGAAATAAAGCATTTGGGTAACACTTTATATTAAGGTTCACTTATTCACCATGTTAATTAACATATTAGAGACAAACTACTAGCTTATTTGTTATGAACAAGACTTTCCCTTTAAAATAGGGAACATATTCTGAGTTAGAAATACCAAATGTTGAGTTATTTTGACACAATTAACACTTGTAGTTTCATGCATTGTAACATAAGAATATACCATATTTGTTTGGTGTTATTATGGGAGAATTACTATTCTTGTGATACTGCTGCCTGATTAAGCCCATATTGAGCATATTGAGACCAAAACTCATGTACAACAACTTCCTTACTTACCATAAATACGCACTAATTAGAGGGTTAATAAGGAAAAACTCTTAACTAGTGGCCTAGTACTGGGAGAATATGGTCATGTAGAATAAGGCATTAATAAGTGTTTTATAAGGACTAATAAAGAGCCAATATACTGCTAATACGCATGTAAATTAACAACTAGTTGATGGTGAATATGTGTACCTTAATATAAAGTGTTATCAGCATTTGATTATTGTCGTCCTTTTCAGGGTCAGATAATGTGGAGTACCAGTTTGCGATGAACAACGACACCACAGAGTATCACGTCAAAGAGCTTCTGCCCCACACTGCCTACACTTTCTTTGTGGTGGCTTACTCTCCCATGGGGGCCAGTCGCCCCTCCCTGCCTGTTACAGTGGAGATGCTGGAGGACGGTGAGTAACTTAAATAATATACCAGCCTTGGATGCTTCATAGACTCACAGGGCAAAATCAATAGAATGCCAACATTTAAACTCTTAATTTAGTGTCATTTCATGTAGTTGTTACAAAAGTAGTAATCACTAGAGACTCAAATGAGAATTGTTCCAATCAACACGATCCAATCCTTGAACAATTTAAACACTTATTTATTGAGTTTAGTTGTAGATATAGCGTGTTTGTGTGGATCTATAGGATATACCTTGAATGAGCATTATCTAACAGTTCATTATGTCATTTTGTTTCCTCCTGCAGTGCCCAGTGCCCCTCCTCAGCTGTCTATAGCCAGCACCTCCCCCACAGACATCAGGCTGATGTGGCATCCACTGTCCTCGCAGTACAGTCGAGGAGCTGTGACCCGCTACCGCATCGAGTACAGCACTGTGGATCAGGGTGAGTAACCCCTGCTGGACAACACATTGACCTAAACAGCCAGTGAAAGCACAATTTAGTGAGTATAATTCAGGATATGTACACATTCAGCTTTCTCCATTAACTGTTATTCATTGAAAAAGACAGCCTAGCTAATTTTTGTGTGTGTTATTATTATAAATATTGCAGCTTTCTCGAAAACCTCTAATCCAAACAACTTCCCACTGCGCTTTCTTTGATACTGAGGAATACACCTACTGTAAGATAGTTCTATCCCCCTGCAGTGTGCAGTGGAGTATACACATCAGTCAGGTGCAGGGGCAAAAGCTCACAAGTCCATTAATACTCTTTACTCAGCATGCTGTTAAGTGGTGATAGTTGAAGTCCTCTCTCAGTAAATAATGCATGTAACTCATTACTAATAAATACATTCAATATATCTCAAGAGCTCACACTTAAGATTGCACTTCCTATTATATATATACTAAGCAGTACACCTGTCAAGTGTGAAGTTGATCAGAGGAATAGTTGAGTAGGAATTGAAGGACATGCTGAAAAGAACATGAACTCTACATAATTTGTTGAACTATGTATTGCAAAACGGCACATATTAATGCTTTTATTTTTTTTAAAGGAAAAAAAAACAAGAGTCTTGTAGATACTTATGTAAGTGTGTATTGTGTGTTCCCGCAGTGGACTCAGTGTTCTCAATGGAAGTGGGGGGGAATGAGACTCAGTTCACTCTGAGAGAGCTGCAGCCCAAACAGGCCTACAGACTGAGGATAGCAGCGGGGACGGTCGTTGGCTTTGGGCTCCCCTCTGAGTGGGCCCAGCACCAAACATTAGCCCACTACAACCACAGCGACCAAAGCATGGGTAAGGAAAACGCCGGTGGTTCATTCCCTAAACACCCTGTTTTATTTGACTTAGGGATCCCACAGGTGTTTTAGTATAATTGTTGTATTAGATGAGACTTTAAAAATTGTATTTCATATGGGGAAAATAACAAACATAAAACTTAACAGCACCGGTGAAACATATCTCATTAATAAATCATTTCACAATTGATTACAATGCAAGACAGCAAAATAATGTTTTTAGATTGCTTGTTTACAAATTGTACATTTTAGTTTCACATTTTCACTTTTCTCCCCCGGATAATTTGAACCTAGAGTTCAGTTACTCTACTCCCTCTTAGTTTGGGAGCCACTGATCTGAACTTACACCTAAGATATATCTAAAGTGTAAGTCTGATGGTCAGTAATATTGTAATCATTTGGAATTCCCAGTCATGCTATTTTTTCTTCCTTTTTCAAACGTTTTCAGTGATCTTTGCCCCCACTGAGCTGAAAGTCAAAGTCAGAGAGAACACACTGAATGTGACATGGCATCCGTCGCCCAATCACACTCTGATCTCCGGTTACAAGCTGTCCTGTCGAGAGGTGGAGGCTGACGAGGCAGCCAACGGAGAGAGGACGACACAGACTCACACCATCAGGCTCCGTAAGAAAGCCCGGTATCATCTCCTCACTGGGCTGGGTAAGCTGGGTGGTTTTTTCACACTAGCCTTTGGACAGCTTCATTCAACCCTGAGCTTTTTTGACCGGTGTCCTTATATCATCCTTAACTCCGCTTTCAGAAGCATTCTCACTTTTGAAAAATAAGGATCAAAAGTAAACAGATGCCTCATGAAAATAAATGAATAATTCAGCATCTCATTTAAAGGCATTTGATTGCAGATTCTATCTTAGTTGCCATTTGCAGTATATCAAACCACCAATTGAATAACTGCATTAAGATAAGATCTAGGGCAACTTGTCTACACTTAAAGGTCTTGTCTTTCTAGCAGGCGGCTTTACTTCTATAATATGCATAAAGCTGGCTGAATAACATGTTTTTTCTGTTGACATTTTTGTATTTCTCTTTCTTGATGTTGCTGTATGTGTTTGCCAGTCCCTGACCGGCAGTATGAGGTGAGAGTTTGGCCATTCAACAAGCAGATAGATGGAGCGGCTGCTATGTGGAATGGAAGGACAGAAAAAGCCCCCGACAGAAGTAAGATTTATCTTCCTGCATTTGCGCATTCATACTAAAATAAATGAATGAATGAGTGATAGATACCCTCAATCACTTTTATGGGATAATAAATAATGACAAATTACATCAAGGCAAGTAATGTGTATGTGTGTGTTAAAGCATCGTTGCCGCCCATGCGCCCCCCTCCATTGCCCCCAAGCAGCATCCAAGCCATGGCCAACAGCTCCACCTCCATCTGGCTGCGCTGGGAGAAGCCGCGGTTCAGCAACGTGCGCATCATCAACTACACGGTCCGCTGCAGCCCGGCGGGAACAACCAACGCCTCCCTGGTCTCATATTACACGAGGTGAGGAACTGGAAGGAACAACAGAAACTAAATCACTGTCTGAATGTTTAAGAGAAAGTAGCTTGGCAATATATCCCCATAGATCATGGTCAACAATTGAACTAATCTAATCTAATTTGAACAGTGTTTGTGTTTGAACAGGTATTCAGTTATGATACAAACCTAAGATGTGAGGAAACACCAATATTTATCATAATTGTCTTTCTTAAAAACACATATGGTCATTATGTCTTTATTTAGAAGTTACTTTTCTTATTTTTTTCGGTTTGACTACAATACAATGCTTCACTTTTTATTAAATGGACATGAATTCGATTGCATCTTTCTAGTCTTCCAACCCCCCTAATTCAATTCAGAAACCCATTCATGGTGTCAAGTGCTCATCATTTAATTTAATACTCATTCACACACTCTAACACACCAACAGCTATGCCTTTGGGAGACATGTGGGGTTCAGTAAGTTGCCCAAGGACATTTTCACCGGTGAGATTGGAGGAGCCTCGGAGCAAACCATTCAGGTCACCTAATAATGTCTTGTTCAAGGTTTGTTTCAATTCAATTCCGGCGATGAACAAAATACCAAACTAAAGGAATCACAACGGCAGCCCACAAACCAGTAAATTACGTCCTTCTTATATACAGTGTACCCAACACATTTTTCTCGAAAGGGTACTATTATTTCTTGAGTAGCTCCGATATTAAAGCTATTTTTGACAGTAATCAAAATGGAGCACATAATATTGTCCTTGCATCGATGCTACCCTCTACACTTAAACTGGTACATACGTAAGAAAACATACCATATATCCTCTTATCAATCTTTGTATGTCATATTTATTCAACAAAATTATTTATCACAACATACAGAAAATACATATTGTAACAAACAAGTTGCACACACTAACAAGACTAAATTGATCAGTTCAGTTATTTTTCTCCATCTAAAAAAATCTGAAATGTATACCACACACTCTGAACTCTCTGTGTGTTGCAGCTCTGCTCAGGAGATACTGCTCGGGGCGCTGAGGCCCTTCACCCGTTATGAGCTGGCGGTGCAGTCTAATGGAGTGGACGTGGTGGGACCCTTCAGCGGCACAGTGGAGGAGTCCACCCTGTCCGACCGTGAGTCTCTGCTGCAATTCACTTGGATTTGGATTTGGTTTAAGACCCAATCTGAAGATTTTGCTGTGATACTTTGTGGGCTATAAAATATGCTTGTTTATCAGGTTTACACTAACAATACCTACTGTTACAGTACTTACTGTATACATGTATATATTTCGTTGCATTCACTATGGAAATAATTAAGAAAACTCAATCAAGTGTGCACTTCAAATCTTTTCTTACTGACGTGATATTGATGAATGAAAACACTCCTGGCTCATACAACCTTTGCAGTGCCCTTGAGCTGTGCCAAAAAGTGCGTTAGAGTTGTGTTGTAGTACACTGAAGATAAACTACTATTTGTATATGTGTGGGACGGTTTCTGGAAGAGGATGCAGGGTCAGTGAGTTTTTCTGTCAGTGTTTGATAAAAAGATATTACCTCATGTCGCTTATAAATAATTTATTTCATTTCATCTTGTCCTTCAGCTGCACATTTGTGCTTCCAGAATCTTTTTCTAAAGACCTGCACTTGCTAACCTTGCTGTGTGCAGATAGGAAGGGGAAGTAGTTGCACTTTTGCTTCCTGTGGATAATCTAATATATACATGTGCATGCAGGTGAGTGTTATCACTCATGTGCAAATCAGAGTGTTGGTTGGCCAGTTGCCAGTGGACATGGGTATTAGTAGTTGGCATTTGTAGCTGATAACTGGCAGGAATAAAACAACCAGGTGTAGCAGTAGCTCTCATGTTGCCAAGTTAGTGTGGAGAGTGTTGAGTGGTCTCCTTTTAATTTTAATGACATTATTACACCCATGACATTAGTCACCCTTCACGCTCTCCCCTGCCATGTATCGTCACCTGAGCCCCAGCCCATTCTCCCTTTGCCCGACCCCTCTCTCCTGTACCCAGGTGGTTGGGACACAAAGACGCAGATGGTTCTCACACAGCATGTCAAATCCCCCACCAAGATAATATACATTCCACAGCTGTGAGGCCTCATCTCTGATCTCTAATTACTGACCCAGGCCTCTGCTCTCCTTCAGGGCCCTCCACTCCTCCTGAGGAGCTGCAGCTGAGCGCTCTGGACTCGTCCTCGGTGCTGGCCAGCTGGCGCCCTCCGCTGGAGCCGAACGGTATCATCATCAGCTACAGCATCCTGTTCAGTGGCAACCTCAGCCAGCCGGATCACTTATGGGAAGACCTCTCTCAGGAGGGTGAGTGTTGGCTGGGATGACTCAACAAACTGCACTTTAAACTGTCAATTTGTAAACCTCACATTATCATGTATATTCAGACTGAGTGCAACTAACCACTTTATTTTTATAATCTTGTTTAATATTTATTAGTATTACATGCCTGAGTGAAACAGCATGCTTTATGATGGGCTTGCCCTTGACAATCTCTTCTTGTCTGTCTCTCTCTGTCTCTCTCAGGGAGCATTACCAGTGTGGAGGTCCAGGGTTTGTCCAGTGGCACACTTTACTTTTTCAAACTGGGAGCAGCCACTGAAATGGGGTCAGGGCCTTATTCACCTGTAAAGGATGTCAACACCCCCCTTCAGAAATATGGTACGTGGCAAATAGAACATATATAAGTAGTATCATGTTATTATGGTTGTTGTTGTTGTAGTAGTAGTGGTAGTAGCAGTACATTTTGTTGTTGAATAAGTCATATTTTAGAGAGAGGGTACTTTCGTGAATACATATTGGCAAAAGAAAGAGGGATTAAGAGGAAGGTTGCCGTCTCAGTGACAGAAGGGTTTAGGGAAGCAAAATACGTAAAGTGTATATATGCGATATTAGTGCACCAGCATGAATAAACAAAATGAATGTGAGTTTCCTTCAATGAGGGGGCCAGCAAGTTTAGTTGTCAACTTAAAGACCTTCAGCAGCTTTAAAAACGGCAGACTAATGTTGAAATCTGCTATGTAGCTTCAGTTGAACGCTTCAACCTACACTACATACCATATTGATTTTACAATGCTGTATGGAAGGCCACTCTTCGATCTTATAAACAGGGAAAAGGGTTGTAAAGGGACGGACTTATCGGTACTTAAATGCACTTTCTTGCATGCGTAGCTGACCCAGCGAACAAAAACAAAGAAGAGAAGCTGGCGTTCTTTTCAGCTCAGGACACCATTCATCCAGTTTACCTCTTAGATTTTTAAGATCGGCATTCAAGCAACTTTAATACCACCTTTTTTTTACAATACAACACTGGACACTGCATATTCTATCTGTATCTGTATTCCCCAAAAATGTAAATCAAGTTTTTAAAATGTCACCACCTTCTGGAAATGTAAAATCATGTCAAATTCAGATAGATGGTGTTTTGAGTAACATAATTCAGTGCAATATATTATATGGTAAAAATTAATTATTTTTTTGTAATTGTTTCCAATAAGTGTTCAATTGCTTCTTAGTTTATTAGGAGGGAAATAGTACAGGCCTGTTGCTTCCATAAGCATAACTGTCACATTGATTCTCATGCACACACAGCCTCTCCTTAAAGTGGGTCGTTTGTCTCTGCCAGCAGTGAAAGGTTAGCTCGGCTTTAACTCTGTTGTTTTGCTTTTTTTCTTATCTGGTACATTTTTGAGGAGAATATGAAGTGTGAATAACAAAGGGGCGGCCTCATCAGCGACACCCAGGGGAGACCTTTGAATTACTGTTCACTGAGCCCGGGATAATTGCTGTACAAAGCACTTTCTTCTCTTTCATATCACTTTTTGTTTAAGCATGCAATCTCATTATACACTTTCCAATTCCATCAGTCAGCATTTTAGCTTAACTTGTAATCATGAAAGGCCCTTTTTGTCTTCAAACAGAGGGAGTGGTTGAAATTGTCCAAGATGAGCTTGTAAACTCAATTAAATCGGTATACATTTAAGCTTGAATATACAAGCATTTAGTTACCTACAGTATATACACAACTAAGAACAATATTGTTGTGTACACGCTGTCCACAAGCTTGTTTTTCTCACACATACATGACTTTCTTTTCTTTTCTTTGCCAGCCATGGAGTGCATAATGGATGGGAATTTTTTTTTTAAAGAATCATACATCTTAAATATCTGTACATAGAACTTTTCTGATGCAAAAAGCAGCAAGAGTGCTTTGTCATTGTATTGCAATGTTAAAATTAATAATACAGAGTAACAGGTTTATTTTGTTCACATAGGCAGCAGTGTTGCTAGTATGCAGTGTGAATGGGAGTGAGGTGGCTGGTGGGTGGGTGGGTGAGAGCTCCAGCCATCTGTTTCCTCTCCTCTCTGTGTCCACACTGCCAAAGAAACCCAGCATAAATGAATATCAATGAAGGCATGTTGTCCCTAGTTGAATGTTGCCTCATATCTCTCCACTACTGTAACTTCATCTTATATTAAGGAATCAATATGCAGCGCCTCTTCCCAGCAGGCAAGAGACAAACTCTATTTCAAACTAGAGATGCTATATTAACTCTTAGTATTTTCCTAATATGAAGTTTTAGATATGAGCCAGAATAGCTACTGGCAACAGATCACATGTGAGAACCAATATGGCTTATATTTCTGGCACCAGCAACATTTCTGCCAACTCTTGAGTGTGTGTTGCCCTGATCCTTGTTTACTTTAATTATTACCTGTTTAATCCTTCTATCTCATATTGTTTGATATTTGAACAGAGCTGGACATCCATGCAGTGACAGGCATCATAGTCGGTGTGTGTCTGGGTCTGATATGCATCCTCCTCTGCATGTGTTTCAGCTTTCGAAATGGCAAATCCAGGTAATGTAACTCTACAGTGTCAGTATTTGTACAGTACCGATGGAGTATACATGTTGTATTTCAAACAAAAAGCCAGTCATAATTGCCCATACGCCTGTATTAACCCGCAGTCCTCTATAATGTCTAACTGCTATACCATCCCTCTCATCTCTGATCCAAATAGAGAGGTGTCTGGGGGCCTGGACTCCACAGCTGTGACCCTTCAGTACAGGCGAGGAGGATGCCCCCTTCCCACCAGCGTGCCAGAGTGCAGCGATAGCCACGAGCTGGAGACCCTGATGCCCTCAGGCAGCCAAGAGTCTGGTCAGCCGCTAGAAGAGGTCCCCGAGGAGCAGAGCCTGATGGCAAGTGCTAATCCAGGGGAGGGGGAGGATAACCCTGCACCTGAACCCAAGGTCAAAACCTGCTGGGGGGGAGCTTTCCTCCAGATTGACCTTGTACACTCTTTTATTCTTTTTTTAAACTGTTGGTAGAGGGTTAAAGTTGTAATTCTGGTGCATTTTCTGTCTTGCAGACTGCGTGGAATGGCTCTGTGAGTCATGACTGGGCCAACAGGATCACTAGATACAGAGACACCATAACAGAAGACTCTCCCTCGCTCATAAATGGAGCTCTCAGCATGGTAATTACTGATAACAGCATAGTAAATGACAACTAAACTTACTCACTTATCTATTTTAGCAAGCAACCATCAAGCTGTAGCATCTATGGATCAAATGGCATTTCTTATTAACGTTTTCCTGAAGACCACAACCCTCAGTTACAGCTTCTATGCTTTTCAAGTATTCGGTTCTTGCATGGCACGTTCAATGCAGTTTATCATGATAGGGATTGGGTCAGACTTACCATTTAAAGTATGTTTTTTGAAATTTGTCTCAAAATGTTCTCGATTTCAGAAAGAAGTTAACAAAAGTAGGGTTATCGTTTATTTCTGACTGCTGAAAACAAAAAAACAGTTTATAAACAAAAATACAAACTCTTTCAAGGTTTCTTAGATATGCAATGTATGGATAACTGATCCTAGATAAAATGTCAGAAATCATAATGCTACCTCAGTTAACAAAGCTATGGTTTCATCCACAAATCCTAAAAAGAGCAGGACAGATATATTACTATACCATAAGAGATTATAGAAGTAGAGTAGTGTAGATAAAAAACACTATCGTTGGTGAAAGGGGAAATATATACAGCATTTACGTACAACATGTAACAATAATTGGGCTATTGCTGAAAGGGGGAGCAAGCAGTGTATTTGGCTCATTGCTTTTATCCATCAGAAATATTTATCAGACTGTGTACAGAGGAATAGCTATAATTGACCGTTCACTTTATATTAACTTCCCCAAACAACATTGAATCCTTGAGTAACCTGGGTTTATCAACTTGTATAAAATCCTAACTATCACTGATATTGTTTCGTTGCAGGACTTAGAAGACCGTCTGTGTTCATCCATGTGCAGTAACCAGGTGGAGGCAGAAGTCATTGTTCATTCAGAGCTCTCAGACCCAGAGGAGGAGGGCAGCGAACGGGAGAGGGATTCAAACACCACCAGAGGACCCTCATTATCAGAGGATAGCTATTCCCCTGTGAGTCAGCCGAGCCCACTGGGGGAGGGGGACACACTCGAAAAACTATCACTCGCCCAGAGCCCCTCGAGTCTTCCCTTGATAAAGTTGGTGGCTAATCACAATGGGGAGCTACAAGGCATGGGGGACCAGCCGAGCGCAGACATAGAGCCACAGCAGGAAGTGAGGCTGACCAATGGCTTCCACTCCCCAAAGACGGTGCGTTCTGTGCTGAGGTCAGAACACCTGGAGAACGGGGACTCAAGACACTGCCAGCCGGCTCCAGGAAAGGTCATCTCTACCGGGCTGTCCCCTGCCCCCTTTGTCAGCTCCGGCCTTGTCCACTCTACCTCAGTAGCACACAGTTATCTGTGCCCGTAGCATCTGCATGTAGGGCATCGGCCCTTACACACACATACAGACAGCAGACAGATTTTCTTTCTTTTACGTACCCAGGAAGAATCCCTAAGGATTATTTTTATGCACCTCATTATTGGATTCCTTTCTCTTCCGTGCAAAGATTTTATAGGTACTTTGAATCCATTGTTTGTGTATATACAGCATACAGTATATTTTTAGTGGTAGAGTACTGTATATGGGTATGCATTGGCTAGCATTGCAACCATATTTTCCTCTGGCTTTTCTTCCTGTCTTTAGGAAAGAAAGATGTAACTTAACCAAGCAGAAGGAAGTGGACTGAAGGAGGCTATTCCCACTGTGTTGCACGTTGCTTTGTTCCACTAAGGAATGAGAAAGCCTGCAATGTTCTGTAAGAGAGAGGAACAGGCGATCAACGTGGATGGGAGGAACTGAAACGCAGGCTCGATAAGTCTCCTGGGCTCCGTCGTGTGGATGCTTTACCGTGGCACCGAGGGAAAAGCCTCAAAGAATATCCAGCCTCCTGCTGTCTCAGGATCCACACACACACACACACATAGAAAGTTAAATTACAGCTGATTCCGTGGTATTACACATAAGCTTAAACAGTCACTCATACACACACTTATCCTGACTGGAGTGTGGAGGTCTCAGGTGCCTAATTATTGTAGGTGCGTTTATAACCTCTGTATATTTCTATAGATGCTTCTATTCAGTAAACAACACCTGTCATTGTGAAGAACAAAAAGACAATACAAATGTACAAAGATGGAGTATACACATTTGCTACACATGAAGTATTCTTTTCCATAATGCCATATATTCACGTGGTGTAACTTTGTAAACCAGGGACACTCAGTTGAAAAGTAAAAAGTATTTTTGTTGCTGTATTTGGTGGATATCTCATTATGGAAGAATTGACATGTTCACATTGGTACTGGTTTTATTATGTTGGTACGAGGAGAACTAGTAACACGTTTTAAACAATCCATCTGATTTGGCTCCCTATTAGGGATGCACCAATGGGATACTGTGCCATTAAACCGCTTTTGAACTCAGTATAATCATTTCCTCATGTGAAACACTTGCCAATGTTTTTAAATCAACTTAACTCTAGAGATATATCTGATTGCAGTTTTGTGAAAACATTTCCAAAATGCTATTCTCTGCTTCAGTACCAGAATTTACATGTTTTACATTTATTTCTACATTGATCAGAAAATATAAATAAATGTGCTAAAAAACGTTAAATTAACCCCTAAAAGTTCAACGTTTTCGATCAGATTGCTTTCCATAATTGACTCTCAGTCAGCATTGTTTTTAGCAGTGTAAACGATGAACTAGTGCATCCCTACTCTTACCAACAACACTACCTCATTACTTTTCAGGACTGTTTCCAGTGTGATTCTATCAGTTTTATGTAACTAGCACCTTTTTAAGATATTTTTCTGATATCACAGCCTTTGGTGTTTGCAGAAATAATCGTCCGACTGTATGTTCTTATTTCATGACAAAGGAATTGTCGCTTTAGTGCATTGTAGCGTCCTCTGAGATCTCTGAAAGATTGGGTCACTCAGTCTTATGTTAACGATAAACCCCTACAGACAACATACATCCCTGTGTCTATGATATGAAGCCCCTTCAACACGGTCCAGCCAATGTCATTCAGCTGTAGTTTAGGACAGTATAAGCTGCTGCAATTGGACATTGTTGGCACCTGTTTGCCAGCTAAATAAATTCACCAACTATAGTCCTGAAAGTACTGATTACATCAACAAGCTTCTTGCTCAACAAATGTCCTTTTAACTCTGGTCTGTATTTTACTCCAGTGTTAAAATGACAGCAGCTTTATAATTATTTGCCCAAAGGAAGCAATAATTGTCTCCACAGATGAGAGAATGGGTTTACAAATAAGCTGGTTCCACAAGGTGCTTCACTTCAAAAAGACTCATTTGAACTGATGTGATTAAAAGAAAGGAGTTGTTGAGATCAGTTAGAAATAATAATCTTAAAACTAATATCCACTCAAATGTTGATAACATTTGAGCCCAAATGTGTTGAATATGATGCCTCATCTTCTCTCAGGTGGCTTTCTTCTTGTTATTCGATACTCAAAAGTGAGTGGATAAACTCTTCTTTCCTACCTTTCTCTCTACTCCTTGTTCTTGCATGTGTCGAAATCTCACCAGCTATTCTCAATCCCATCAGCAACAGAAACGTAAAATGTCCCTCACGACATGACAAACAGGTTTTTCTCTAACACATGCAGTCCTTGATTTTCCGAAAACAAAGCTTTGTCGGTACCTCAGAGATAATTTGTTTAGCCTTGCCATGTATATACTAAACATTACAACCTAGATCAACAAAGTTTCTTTTGCTACAGCAGCACTTATAAAGGGACAAATGAATGTGTTCAAAGCGAACCTGGGTAAAGATTACATGCAGGATGTTTTGGAGGTGAGTGGGTGAACAATTCAGATTTGAACAACTGTCAGTTACAGAAGGTTTTGTTAAAAACCTTAGACTTAAAAATGTATGGCACTTACTGAAGCATGCTATTTCGAAATCATACTCAAATGGAGCGTAAAAAGCACTCAACAGCACGCTTGCCTATGGCAGGAAACTGCTGCTGCACCACTCTACTCATCAATCTGAAGTGACAAGCGTGTTTTACCTGTGGCCCAATTCCAATTAGTGATGCCAGAACAGGTTCCTATCAGCTGTTAAAAGTCAAACACCTGCTGTGACATCTTTTATTTGGGTGATACATTTAAATATATAAAAAGCAGTGCAGCTACAGCCTTCTACGCTTTGATTTGATTACCACCTTTATATGCAGTAAACTAAAGCAAACCACCAAAATGATGTTTGTATTTTTGATCCAGGTTCTGATTTTATATTGAAACTGTTTCACATCATCCTCAAAAGCCTGTATGTCCAAAATCTAGAAATAAGCATAATATTCTTAAAAGCATTCCAGTTTGATACCTCAAACATACCTCTCTTAGTCCAGGTCAGCCGTATTAATGTATGTGATGAAGAGAAGTGCTACAGACTCTGCTCCTGCTCTGCTTAGGTTTCATGCAGACCTGGTTTCAGTTCTTACCATTCACCATTTGCAGATACTGAAGTCTGAACTGCAGTTTTTGCAAACTACTTGGACTACAACCAAGTGGATGGCGGTCACTGAATCAGAACGATTAAGATAGTGTTTCAAGTAAGTAATCGGTCACTGTTACAAAAATGACCTTTCAAACATTTTCTCCCGATCTTTTGGGTATAACGTTTGTGAAGTTTTCTCTCACCCGGCATATCCATTTTTCAATCACTGGGAAACTGTGATTCTCTATTTAGGAGTACGCTTTTATGATAGCTGCCGAAATCGGACACAAAATGATAGTTTGAAATGTAAATGGTACAGTGTACTAAGATTTTTAGTAACATACAGTATTTAAATTAAGTGTTTTCACAAAAATGGTGGCTGTCAATTCATGCAACGTTCTTGTGTTTCAAGTCTCGATGCCGTAGTGGATCATGATGGTATGTAGAGACAACAAAGAGGGTCTGAAATAGGAAATAAAATAAACCTGCCTCCAGCATAAAGGATGTAAAGGAGCTCTACTAACTCTTTAACCACTGACTTTTAAATACAAGTACATTTCATCAGATTATTTGTGAGGAAAATTACTCATGATCTCATTTTGTAGAGACGATAATTACTTTAATAATTTGTTTATTTCATCCTCTTTACAAGGGGGTTAAACAGTATACCTCATTGTTGGTAAAGTGTTGATTTTATTTGGATCAGTTTCTTAATACGAGTAAACATGTATTCATAAGCATCCTGTTGTTTTGTGAGCGGAGAGAGAGGACAGGATCGAACGTTTCATTTTACCTCAGTGAGAGTTTTTACCCATTATAGTGGCTTGGATTGTCTAGTGGTGAACACAGAGGGGAGGATGGGTCAGTTGGAGCAATTGGCTTTTACATAGTCATTCTGCAACAGTAAAAGCTTTTTAAAGAGTTAAACGCATGGGTTAACTAAAAGGGTACTCGAATATTAGGAGAAGAGAGCAAAGAAGTGTGTTTCTAACATCCTAATAATCACTCTTTGGTAAAACACCACTTTTACATAACCCAGGCGTCTGAAGTGCAAGGCAGGGAGAAGGGACATCCCCCCCAGGCAGGTCATACCTCTCAGTGCAGACAGTCATTTTAAAATAAATTGTCTTCTCTACTCAGGTGTCCCATCTTTGCATACAATTGTAGAGGATCATGGCAGCATATCCAACTCAGATACATCATACGTCATTTGTGGTCAAACAACGCCTGATTGTGTTCTTTTCAAAGGTAAAAACGATGAAATTCTTACGCATAAATGATATTTTTGTTTTGTACAAAACTATGTGTATTTCTATCTCTCTGGCTTTTCTCTATACAGTACATTCTGGTGCTTTGGTGGTGCGCTGCTTTGTCCAGTGATGTCACATGTTGTGCATTTTTTGTAAGTCTTCTTATCTAGTTTTGTGTGTACCAGCTCAATCGTGCTTCTCAGAATGGGTATGAATAGACTCAAACTCTGTCTGTGTGAGCCAGTGACGGTCTGCAAGTACTCAAGTACACCTCTGTTATCATTGTGTGCTGAACAAGACCTCATTCTTGACAAAAGATGCTACTGTAGGAGCAAATTGTAGGAGCACTTAATAGATTAGCACTTCTTCTTGCGATATGAGCAACTTTGGACTGTCATCTTTACATTCTTAGAAGTGCAATTGTCTTATTCTGTAAAAAAACAGATGGATTACTCAGTGTTAGTCATGGCGAACGTGTTCATGATTTGTGATAGAAACATTGCTTGTTCAAAGGTATCATCACAGGATAGGTAGTACTTGTGGTTTTTAGAAATATTTCCACTGTGTTGCCATTTGTAATAATGTCAAAACTCACAGCAACTCTCAAGATGTCTGTGGAAACTACTCTTCTGTAAATAAACATACAAAAGAAGAAAGTTCTCTAGATTGTCTATTACTTTTGTCCCCAAAGATTTATCAGTCAATTTAACTGTGCACTTTTTCTGGCATTTGCGTTTCCAAGAATGACATTCAAGACACACTGGAGAATAGATTCTTGGTTATTTCTTGTCATATTTCAAACATTTTGACCTTTATTTTATAGTCTCTGCTGATAAATTGAATTGTCCTTTTTGCATTCATGAATAAAATGTATGCCACTTTAGAACTGTGGAACAAACCTCACAGATGTAACCAAACCTCCTGACCGGCTATATCATGTATGAATGCAGCATAAGTGCTCGAGTTGACTGCCTGAACTAGCTCGCAGGCTTCGCCCCATTTGTGTTACTGCAATGTCACTTACTGCAGCAGTTTTTGACAGTTTGGAAAATATTCATGTACTTTCTTGGCATTAAATAAATAAAGATACAAAGCACACATATCCAGTACCTTAGGCCTACTGTAAATTAGGAACAACAACTAGCAGCGATTAGCTTAGCCTACTAGACTCCAGGAAGTCACTGTTCCTGTTAAATACATAATCAGGTCAGGGAAACCACATGATATAGTTTGTTTAACACTTTTGTAAGGATTAATGCTAATTATTATTCTTGTTACCTTGAGTTCTGGCAAAGATAATGTGCTAGCTATAGACTAGCCTACTGATTATTTCCAGTCTTTTTTTAATGCACACAAATGAGAGCGTATACATCTTGTAGTATATCCTTAAATGCTGTGACCTGTTGAACTGCTGTGTTAACCGAGTCAAGAACATTTACTCATGATTAAGTGTAAATCAGACAATGTTGGGCTAAAGGGGATACTTTAGACTTGGTCTCATGGGCCCAGGCTATAGTTAAATAAATCCTGCATAGTAATAGGCAGCCTCCGGGCCACAAATTACTCGGGTAACATGCCCTCAGTGGCTTTGTGCCCAAACCTTTTCACTCCAGCACTCGCCTCTGGGTGATAATCAGTCATACTTAAAGATGTCATTCCTTCACAAACCACCAGGGGGCAGTGCGACCCTGCCTATTGATCCTTACAAATTAAACATAGTAACCTGGTGCCACTCCCATTAGGGGAGATTGCTGTGTTAGACATCATGTGCTGCTTTCACCTTACTTGACTTGGCTGCAGATTTGTATAAATGTATTGAATACTTTATATTACTTTTCCCCTCATTACTATTCATTGCATAAAGCGGGAAAATAATCTCTCTATCACACCAATTTCCCCTGAAAAATTAAATCCTAATGTCATGAAATGCAAAAGGTGTGAGACGTGTGCACGTGGGTCTTATTTTCAGTCTGTCCCTGCTTCTGCATGAGCATGTGTGCATGTGGATGGTGGAGTGGGTGGATTTGAGTGTGTATGTGTGCACTGACAAGGCTGACAGACTGACTGAAAAAAAGCCAGGACAGGCAGGTGATGGAGATAAGAGGGTGAGATGGGGGCACGGAGTTAAGACAGGAGCATTGAGGTGACATCACGTGGCTGAATCCCCAGACGAGTAAGATAAAAGCTCTGAGCGACAGAGGGGTCGGGCTCACTATCTTCAGCCACTCATCACTGTTCATCAGAGGGTGAGGCTCCTCTGCATATGCACAAATCCACACATGAGCACACATTATCACACAAGCGTGCATGCATTCTCATAAATAACTGTACTTGCCTGTGTATTGTCAGGGTGCATTGTGTTTCCTCCTCAAGCATTGGAGTGGTCTCTTGGCTAGTTCAGCATGCCTCATATTTCTTTAGAGAAGCAGGCAAGTGGAGCACAGTGAGTCAGGTGAGGGCTGGACTCGAGAGGTACAGCTCACTGCCTGTGGGGAAATAACTGTGCGATGCTCTTGAATCAGCCCATTCATTCTGCCCCTTCCTGCTTCTGCTATGTCAGCTCTGCCTGTTTCATCGCTGAGCTGTATATGCTCTCTGACACTTCAAAGCGTACAGTAGAAGACCCCCTGGATTGGCAAGTGTTTGCAAATAAAGTTGTGTGCTTGTGGAAACCCAGGGGTTCTACTACCAAGTTGGCCACTTTGCAATAAAGAGAGATCTGGTTCAAAACTCAGAGAGCAGAAATGCCACCACAAAAATATCTATACATTTCAAAGTAAATGGATGTTTTCTTTTTTCTAGTTTAAAATGTCAACAATGTTGACCCTCCTCTTCTAGATCCAAATTATGTCCTGTGCTTTTATAAATTATTTATGACATGACCATCCAGTCTGTTTGTTTTACAACTGTCGTCCTTGCATGTTATAGAATCAATCTTGTCTGTTAGGACAAAGTCTTACGTGTGCATCGGGTTTGAAATGTCACAGTTTATTTATCTTTGGATATTGGCTCGTTTAATTCAAACCTCTTACACTAAAAGCATCATATTGACCGCATTTGTTTTTCCTTCTTTGACTATTCCTCCTTTACATCACCATATAAAAGCGGCTTGTGTTTAAGTGGGTGTAGGTGTACGACATGCGGTGATGACATCATGGTTACAGGTCTTGTGCATGACCTTAGCTGAATGTCATTTCACACTGTTGGCCTTCAAATAAAGCATGATTACCTAAGAATGTGTCCTTTTTAAAATAAGCTTGGAGATGTACTGTATATCCTTCTGAGTGTTCACTTGATTTTCAAACCATTTTCTTCTTTTCATGTGAAAAATGTAATAATATTCAGTAAGATTTCAGAACCACAAATGTCTTTGTTTCTGTCAGTATCTACATGTGAGCCGGCTCTCTTTCCCTACAGTCATTTGGCTATTCACTGAAATGACTATAAGAACTAATGCTTTTTTCAGATGAGACTTGTTCTCAATGTCAGCCCTGGTGTGAGTTATTACCTGCCAATCAAGAATTCCCCAAACTAAACAGAGACAGCCTGAGGAAATAGAGAATGAAGGAGGGTGAGGCTGACGATAAATGAATGAAGTCGGCGAGAGGGGATTTGAGAGGAGGATGAATGTGGGGAAAGTAATCTGCTTTCTTTGGACTATACATATATCTGGAATTATAATAAACCCTGTGTGCTTTACAATAAGCTCTACTATACCCCATAAAGAAGTAGCTGTAAAAGGTGAAGTCACAGGGGCATGGCTGGCAGAGAAACCAGAGAGCTGTCAGTAATGGCTCTGGACTGTTTACCCCGGCTTCTTCTCTCCCATGGGTTCAGTCTGCTGCTCTCCATTCACTGTTGGCTGGACAAAATAGGACCCCAGAGAGGGTGCAGCTTTAAAACTCACTGTATACCAATTTTATATACTACAACCACGGGCAAGTGTGGCACTGTTATTTCAAGTGAAGACATGCCTGACTCCCTTGTCCAGTCAAGTGAGGGGATAGGATAAAGGAAATAGGAGTTAAATTATGTATTTCTAAAGATTCAAGAGCCATAGGATTTAGTGTGTTGTTTTTATTAAATGTTTCACTTTTACTTCTTGCTTTGTCCTTCATCTTCCCTCTCCTTCTTACACCCCCACAGGTGCATGGCTGATAAGGGGATGTCTTGAATGTGACTGACAGCATGCCTCTCTCCCTGGCTTCACATGGGGCCAACAGTGTGTCGATCCAACAATAGTTGTGAGCCAACCATGGCAATGAAAACCTTCTGCTTTGGGCAATGCATGAGGATTAAAGCCTGCATGTAGCCTAGCTGCCAGTAAGGAGTAAAGTGCTGGCTCCTGGCCAACAGTCATCCGACAAGGCTTTCACTTGCCCTTACATTATATCCAAGTCTGACCTGATGTCAAAGCTGTAAGAGCTCAAATCTCTGCATACATTACACCAGGTCTGGCAGAGTCAAACAAACACACAGTTTATCTTGAGGGATATAATTCCACCAGTGCCTGTAAGCAATACAAAGCTATGCATTTATTTTTGTTTTATGGTCTGTCGCCAGCAGTGACAGCAAAGTTTATGTGGCTAACTACGTCTGAAATATTTGACTTGCATGAGATTTATGTTGCACCCTCTTGCATTTCCCCCTGATTTTGTTCTGCGTTTTTCTGCACTTAGGAAGAGGAAATACAATACAATGCTTCTAAAAAAAATCATGTTTCATTACCAATGACAAATAGCTATGACAAATAGTCATAAAGCAGTTGCTTCTGAAAATTATAGCAATAATGGATATGTGATGCATCCAGTGAGAATAACCTCAAGGCTTAGTACCCCTATTAAATAACAGATTACATTTCTATTGCACAAATTGAGCATCCTTGAAATGTATCCATGGAATTCGAACTACATGTGTTAATATAATGTTATTTACTAACTTCTGACAATAATCAGGTCTATAATTATTTTAGGGTGACATTCCTTCTGAAGGA